TTAAAAAAAACTACAAATCGCAGCAATATAAACGAAAGACCCTTTTCATAAGAATGAATTGGGCTACAATTTGGCGTTTGCACATACTGCACACACCTCCGGGAACCCGATCTTTTAGTCCTCTAAGTGGACGGTTGCACCTCGTCGTGGCGTGCACGATTTGGACCGAACGGATGGACCTGCGACAATGGCAAAAAATGTTAGTTACTCTAAAAAGACGCGGCTATCGCATCGCATGACGAGAGCGATTTTAAAATTTTTAATTTTTAATATTTAAAAAAAATGTCAAAGTTTTGGTGAAAAAAAAGGTCAAAATTTGAACACATTTGGCCCATTTTTGGTGCCTTGGAAGTGTAATGTCGAAAAACGCTCTCGTCACGCGATAGCCGCATCTCTTAAGAGTAAATGACCATTTTTGTCAGTGCCGCAGGACCATCTGTTCGGTCCAAATCATGCACGCCACGACGCACAGTGCGGCCGATCCGGGAAAAAGCGGACATAATTCGAATTTTCAATTCTCTAATATGGTGTTTTTCTTTGCGGAGTCCTAATCTTCAATGTTCAAACTATCTTAAACCACTCGGTTCATATTTTTCCATGCCCAACAACAATTTCTATGAGCCCTCAAACTTGACACTTCTGCCGCCAAGGAAAACGGCGCGCGGGGCCTCATAACCTATACTGTTTTGCGAAGCGATTATTCGTTAACTCAGGCATGGAATCGAACAAACTCTTTGCCTTAGATAAAGTTGAAACCTTCCTCTTTTTAATTCTGTATGAGATTATGTTGGTGCTAGAAATTTAAGTATTGTAAATTACAATTTCCTGAGAGCCTGCACTTGGGTGAACCGCGTAGGAAGTGCCGTCTTTCAATTGAGTTATAAAACGATTCCGTGGATTTCCGTTTTGTGGCGCATATGAGACGAAAGCATAGACTTCGTAGGGCATATTCCGACTCTGAACAGCCGCGGCAAGCCGCGGCCTCAGCCATACGGACTACATAACTGTGGCAGTGTATGCTCGCTGTCATGGCGGCCTGTCGTTCGGACCGACCATATTTTTGCACAAAAATAATGAAAATGACCCTTTACTTCAGACATGCTTTCAAAATTGAAATCTACGGTAAATAAAACCCTCAGAACGCAAATCTAGCGACGGGTCCCGGGCGGCCTGGGTGGCGCCGCGCGGAGCATTATGTCCGCCTTTTCCCGGATCGGCCGCACTGTGCGACGAGCGGCGACGAGTTGCAACCGTCCACTTCGAGGCCAAGAAGACCGGGTTCCCGGAGGTGTGCATTGTATGTGCATACGCCAAATTGTAGCCCAATTCATTCTTATGTAAAGGGTCTTTCGTTGATGGGAGGTTTTCAAAATAAGCGACATATTTGTGTCTTTTGGCCGTAATCGTTATTTTTCTGTCGTTTTCGATGCTGTTTGGCTTATTTGATTCGGGGGAAGGTGGCGAATTTAATTTTACTACAAAAAAAGGCAATGTCAGTGGTGAAAGTAATCGAAATTTCTTAGGAAGTATTCAAAATGTAACTTCCGTACTGTCCTCCGCGCTAAAACCTTAACTTTGGACAGCTATATCTTCTAAAATCTTTGCCGGAGAGAAAATCCGGAAGCTCCTACGCGTTCCTCCATGTTTTCTGTGCAACATATCCGAATCGCTAACTACTGTCGCAAATACACTGGTCAGGGCAGCAGCCCAAAAAATGTCCTCCAGAGTGACGGAAGGGAAGGACCAATTCAAAAGTTTGCGCTCTGAGTAGTCCCTGTGGCAACAGACATTGGCAGCACTGGTGTCCCAGTCTCCGGTAAGATCACAGCTGTCGATTTTAAGTATGGGCGGCTTCAAGATGTAAACGGTAAGTGAACTAGAGGCGTTTGAATGTTAAATTCTGGGTTTTTAAAAGCATACCTGTAACATTCCGTACGGCACGTAGCTCCGCCAATTTTTGTCGCACAGAAATCATTCCTTTTGTCTGAGCATACATTTTATGTCTCGTAAAATATCTGATTTTGTCCGGTACTCATATCACCAAGGATCTGCTTGAAACTGCCTATTTTATGAAAATACTCGAGGACGGTTTGAGGTAGAATGCTCAAATTTTTATTGTAACTTTGTATTTTATGAAAATGTAACTTCCGTACTTATGTAACTTTCGCACAGCTGTGTAACTTCCGTACAACCGATTTTACACGGGTGTTACCTACATTTTCGAGAATTCTGCAGTGGGAGCTCTGGTATCTTCAGGATGTGGTCAGAGGACAGGCCGAAACAGACCCCACCCGAAAAAAAAATTCTCAAAAATAACTTTTTGTTGAGATTTTAGGAGGTCAAATATGTCGCTTATTTTGAAAACCTCCCATAAGCAGTTTAATATAAAAGTCGATGGTCGGACCTGAAGATCGTGTCGCACAGCGTATCGCCTTCGAGGGTGCTTTTGTTAGATGACAACACTGATAAACAGTAAAGGTGTGGAATTCCCAAGTTCAGCATCTGGCGGTGCACCGATAAGAACATACGATGCGTCAGCACGCGGTACAGGTGAGTCATCATGAATATGACTCATTGGTGCCATGTGCTGCCGCTGCCACAGCGGCGACCGTCGGTGCGCTAGCATCCTCCAACACCAGCCAAGGGCCGCAATCTCTAACGCCGATGTTTTCTTCTCGACGTCGCAGATTTGTACACACACTTGCCAAACAAAGTTGTAACTTTTAACGCGTTCACTGTAAAAAATAATCACGGTAGCCCATGACGTTTATTTAACCTACGGCATCTCCGTCTCCGTACCTTGAGTTAGGACTCTGTTCCCATAAGCGCCCATGTAAAAAAAATGTGGGTACGGAGCCAGGTTACGGAACAAGTCTCGCTAATTTGATCGGGAAGTTTCCGTTTTGAGTAAGGAGTCTGTTATGGCGCTCCGTACCCCGTTCCCTATGCTTGCCCACGTAACCATCGTTGTTACGGTGGCCAGGTACGGTAAATCTCCGAACCACTTTCGAAAATCACACCCAAAAGTAAGGTGAGGTAGGGTGGGGCACTGTGTAACAGGGGCAGTGTGTAACAGACCTTCGTCTTTTGAATATGGCACGTCCGGAATCAAATGTGAATGTTCATTGGCTGAGCGATAGCGAAGCCTATTACTCCAGTGATGATCAAAAAGTTTCGCGTCTGTCTGGTTGTTTGTTTGTCTGTCTGTCTGTCTGTCTGTCTGTAAGCACGATAACTCGAGAACGGTTTGAGCTAGAAGGCTCAAATTTTTAGTGTAACTTTGTATCATAAAAAGCAAGAACTGTATTGATTTTGAGCCCTCTAGCTTAAAAATTGACCTGTCAACAAAATCAAAAACGAAAAACCTTCAATATTACTTTTAAAAAACATTTTCCTTACATCTTTCTAACACGTAACTCGTCAAAGTAGAACCCTGCGGGCTAAAATTTTGACCGTTTGGCTCTATCTCTAACCGTTTAGTCGCCAGAGGGCGATTTCCACACTAAAAAGACCCCAAATCGCCCCAAATCATTGTAATATTCTTTCTCAGATAATTGATGGTCTCTGATAGGGCAACTCGTCCAAATAAAATCCTGGGGGTAAAATTTGTGGTCTTTGGAGCCGAAGGCCTATCTACAACTCTGCATTTTGCCGGACTCGGGTGTCAGCGCCGCAGGCCTAGGTAGATGTATGCCAGGCGCGTCGCAGCGTAACAGTGTTTCGTGAGATATCGCGAAGCCTGTTACGCGAGACGTGGTCTGGCGTACATTTACCTAGTAATTGGCTGAGCGATAGCAAAGCCTATTACTCCAGTGATGATCAAAAAGTTTCGCGTCTGTCTGTTTGTTTGTCTCTCTGTCTGTTCGCACGATAACTCGAGGACGGTTTGAGGTAGAATGCTCAAATTTTTATTGTAACTTTGTATTTTATGAAAATGTAACTTCCGTACTTATGGAACTTTCGCACAGCTGTGTAACTTCCGTACAACCGATTTTACACGGGTGTTACCTACATTTTCGAGAATTCTGCAGTGGGAGCTCTGATCTTCAGGATGTGGTCAGGGGACAGGCCCAAACAGACCCCACCCGAAAAAAAAAATTCTCAAAAATAATTTTTTGTTGAGATTTTAGGAGGCCAAATATGTCGCTTATTTTGAAAACCTCCCTTATAACGCTGCGATTGGTAGATTTTTAAAAATGAAATATCTGCCAAACTCGACCCTCGTATTTCACAGGTCTGCCCCCTTAACCCCGCTCACTTTTGTATTTATGCTGCACCGCACGCATGAGTTCAGGCGGGCTTGTCTTATCGCCCCGGTCCACGGCGCCTTATGGGCCGAGCGAGTAGGCAACCCGCCCTGACTCGTGCGTGCGGTACAACATAAATACAGAAGTGAGCGGGATTAATCAGCCACCCGGTATATAGTGACTTATACGACCCAACGCCGCAGGCAGGCCGGGCACTGCCGAACGGAGTTGCCTGCGTGCGGAGCGAGGTGAAGCTGGGCAACTTCGTTTCGCGGAAGGGCAATCCTGCTTGTTGCCCTGCTACTGACCTTGGACATAATGTTGTGACTGTGGCCCTGGAAGGGGAACAGACCGAGCACTCTGAATGGCACAACAGGCGGCAAGGCTGCGCCGATTATCACGAGTGCGATGACGGTCGCCGGGAGTGTTGGCGCGACCATGGTGGGATAGTGACGCGGCGGGTCCGTGAGAGCGACTGTCCTCTCCGCCTCGAATGCCTGCCGCTCAACCGACTGGCCAGCCTTATTAAAGGCGCTGCCTCTGCGCCCGCTTGGCTTGCAGGAGACAAGCACGGGCTCGAAATGTTACGGAGGGGGGAGGGGGGACGACAAACCCTTAGGCCGAAGCTCTACATGATTTCTGCCAACCCTTGACGCCCAACACACACTACAGACAACACTCCTAACAGCTGCGGAACTTGAAAAAAAAGTCATAAATTTACCAGGGGTCCGTAACTTAACGCATTAGCGTTATGCGTTAGTTATATAAATTAACGAGTAACGCATTAGTGTTATGCGTTAGTTATATAACGTAACGTCTAACAATTTGCAATAAAAGTTAAAGTTATGGGTCGTCAAAAATTATTCTGATGCTAGTTGGAGCATGTTCCGGCATTTTGAGTCTAACTCTTAACGTTTCATGGTATGGTTACAAGTGATGAGTTATAACTCTTAACGTTTCATTGTATGGTCACAAGTTATAAGTTATAACTTTAACGGATAACGTACCGCTAAAGGGGAGTTTCATGTTAAGTTACGGACCCCTGAAATTTACCATGTATTTTGTACCAAAACTTGTTAAATATCTTGTAAATTCATGACACCCCATACTTGCTCGTCGATGAATTATACCAAGTCGACGATTCACGGAAAAAAAAGAACTAGTTGTCACAACTAATAAATTAGCTAATTTTGGGATAGACAAGAAATTCGCTGTGGCAGCTAATAGTTGGTTGCCACAGACAAGAGTGAATTGCCAAAGCGAAGCTTTCGCTGCAGGAGCCAATAGGTTCGTTCTGCCAGCGAAACACCCAATTAGTTGTGAGAACGAACCTATTGGCTCCTGCAGCGACAGCTTCGCTGTGGCAACTAAATCTTGGCTGTGGCAACCAACTATTAGCTGCCACAGCAAATTTGGGATTAGCTATCCCCAAATCAGTTTATTTGTTAGTTGTGAGGACTAATTCTTTTTTTCCGTGTTGATTCTCAAAATACTGTCCGATTCCGAAAAAGCGTTTTTGAGAGCCAGCGATGACCAAACTTGCGGTAACGGCGCTACACGGTAAGCGTGTTCGCGGACGCGAGGTCAATATCGAAAAATGCACATTCTGATGCCACGGGCAGGAGTCGAACCCGCGTCACGCCATTCCGCGCCTGCCTCTGAACGACTGCGGCTACGCGGGCCCCCTCTCTACAATGTATCTTGTAACCCAGTCCTAAAATCCCATGCGCTACATGGAATTCCATGAACACTATTCCATGGCAGAAGAACCGTTTTCCATGTGTGGCTGCTCACTTTCCATGTGGAGCCTCTTTTCCATGAGGAAGCGGCTTGGCCCTCTATGGAAATTTATGTCACCATGGGGTCGGAACTAGCTTTTCATGGGACGTATCGTAGAAATATTGCATATGCTACCATGGTGTGTCTTTCGCCATGGTGTTGGTCTTAACTCCATGGAAAAACAAATTCCCATGAAAGTTAAGAAATCTGTAAAATCGGCGTTTAATTGAATATCGGTCTAAAATTTGGTGGCAAGCACCTCGGTCGAATTTTAGTGGGGCCATTTGATCTCATACAAATTTGAGCACTTTTTCCTGCTATCTCGTAACCGGCCGAAGCTACGTTGAAACATTTGTCAAACTGTTGCGTAACCTTGCGAAGAAAATACCATGCAACTTTTCCATAATAAGAGAAAATACAAGAAACCATTCCGGTAAAGCTGAAATGCAGATGAATGCGAGGAACAAGAAAACGGAAGTCACCTTGCTAAAGCATGGCGATTTCCGTTTTATTCTTCCCCGCATTCTGCTGCATTTTAGCTTTACCGGAATGGTTTCTTGTATTTGCTCTTATTATGAAAAAGTTGCATAGTATTTTCTTCGCAAGGTTACGCAACAGTTTGAAAAATGCTCGCGACCTCTTGTCTCATGCGGTTACGTCGCGATAGCGTGGTAATCCTTATCACCACTGTGAAAACAAGCAGGCGCGCCTGTCTTTGAACCTATTCTTTGCAAGCATTTTGCAGTGCGCTTCGCTCCGTTCGGCAGGGGCCGGGCCTGCTTGCTTGGCCTGCCGGCGGCGATGGTCGGGCCTGCGGCCTGACCATTTGGCGGATGGTCGATTGCGGGCAAGACCTGAGGCGGAGGGTCAGGATGGTCGATTGCGGGCGAAGTGTCAGCGGTGATCGGATTACCGGGTCCTTGACGGGCCAGAGGGGGCGGGACGCGTGCACTCTGTCGATCGCTGGCGGAGGAGGCTGGCGGGTTGGCCCGGGGACTGGCAGGCGCTCCTTCTCGACGTAGAAGAAGGCCTTAAATCGCAAAATAGGAAAGAAACTCTCCCCCCCCTCCTCCCCCCACCCAAAAAAAGTTTTCTAAGTAAAAGGCTCACGGTGTTTCACTGTTACATCGCATTCCTATGTCAACAGGGCAAGTCTTAGAGACGACGGGTTTTAGCGGGCCGAAGGTCCGCTACATCTTTGATTATGTTCTTCAGCAAACCGCGTGACTGAACTGGTCGGGCCGCAGGCCCGACCATCGCCGTCCGTCGTGCGTCCTGTTCAGACCACTCAGTGCTGCTCAGTAGCTGTTCAGTGCAGGAATGCACCTAGTTATACATCCGAGCAACTTTTATGTTTAGTAAAGGTCCAATTTATTCTTTTGAGCCCGATTTACCTAAAATTTGTTCATGGTTTGACTTATATATCCAAATTCCAAAATATGTTACACACTGCCCATCACTGCCCTTACCATCAAATTATTTTCTGTATCAATGGATACAAACTTTCGTATCCATGTCAAAAATTAATTTTTGGATCCGAAAGGATACAATTTTTTGTAGCATGGATGCTGATAAAACTGCGTATCCAAACTACAGGTTTTTGTATTAATTTTTTTTTACAGTGAACCTATCGTGCTGTCCTGTGTGGGGCTGGACAATACTTCCCTCCGGCCCCTTGCCTCCTTTAATTTGGCCCAGCCTTTTTTCGGTGGATCACCATCTTTTAAGACTGTCGTCAAGACTGTCTCTACAGAAATGAAAAGTGGCGCCTCCGTTCTCACTCCATCCCGTTGAACAGGGCCGCGCCAGAGTTCGGCTGCGGC